CCTACGGGGGTTAGGGCGGTATATCAAGTCGAATGATAAATAAATAAAATAAATAAATTTAAAAAACCCCTGGAGATCGCCCATGCGGGCGAAAAACGGCGGAAAAAAGCGCAATGGAACCAGGAGAGGAAACTGAAGACTACTTGGAAGCGGTTGACAGGTAAAACGCTTCAGCCCCGTTTCCTAAAAAGGACAGAAGCGTTTGTGTCTGAAATTACAAATATATTCCGGTAGGGAACAGGTTCTAAAACGGTTCTGTCTGAAATGACAGACCAGAAACCGTTTGGGAACCGCTCCTCTTCCGGATTATATCATCTGTCTGAAATTCCTCAGTGTTTTGTGCTCCTTGGCATTTAGTCATGCTGGCCACATGACCACGGAAACATCTTCGGACAGCGCTGGTTCTTCGGCTTGGAAACGGAGATGAGCACCGTAATCCTAGAGTCGAATTCAACTGACTTTTGAGCAGGGCTATTTTTGGGCAGGAACGCACAGGAACGGAGTTCCGGCTGGCTTCAGAGTTGGCCACGCCCACTACAGCCAAAACCTCTGCGTGCGTGGCTACAGAGGAAAGGCCTGGAGAGTGACCCCCCCCGCGACTAATGAACGGTACTGTCAGGGTGTGGCCTGATATGCTAATGAGTTTCGGCTGTTGGGTGTGGCCTATTATGCGAATGAGTTCCTGCTGGGCTTTTTCTACCAAAAAAGCCCTGCTTTTGATCAAGGGAAACTTTTACCTTTACTTAACTATGACAAGCCCCATCCACTTCCCTCCCTCAGAGGCATGATTCCCCCGCCCTAGTAAGGTGTTTTCTTCTTTGCTGAAGAACTCTGGCTGACCCACCCTGTCACAGTACGATATTTTGGCTGCTGCCTCAGCCCAGGAACCTGAGGGAAGGGTTGGGATTGCCCTTTAGCTTAAATCACTGAAAATGGCACTTGAGACATTTTGAAATTCAAAATTAACTAAATATTTTATTCAGCATAGACGGTAAAGGTCAGGTGAAATCAGGGGTTGAAATTTCTGAGGTAAAACCACTACATGCACAGACCTTAGTTCTTATGTCTCAGGCTAATGAGAGTTTCTTAAGCTATTCACAGTTACTTAAATCTTTATGTTGAGAGGCTTTTGTTCCTGTCATTCCCCAAACACTCAAGTACACTTTCTTTGAGTATCTGCTGACTCTTTTGGTTTCCAGAAGGTTGGCACACTCTTTCCAGTAGCTAAGTCCCTTTTCATGAAACACTAGTACTCGTCTTGAGTTTCTACCTGATTCTTAAGGTTTCCATAGGCAGTTTCTAACAACACCAGACCAGGGATCTCTGCACTCTTCAGAGCTAACTCCTTGTTTGACTGGGTAGGGAAACTCTCCTCTCACTCGATCTATCCCTTTCTTTAGACTGAATGGGAGTCTTCACCTACTTCCCAAACCTCCTTGCCAACTTTCCCCCAATACTCTATCTGTGTAAAACTGCTCTCAGCTAAGGCTGAAATCAAACTCAATGCAGTCAACACAAAAATCTCACCGACTCTCTCCTCATCACGCAGCTCTGAAGTTTTTCTCTACTCAGCTGATGCTAACCAATCAGATCGCTTGGAGCAGCCTGTCACTCAAGGCTCTCTGTCTCTGTGAAGAATTAACCCTTCAGTCCTTCAGCTGTTTGTACAGCACTTCTAAGCTTCTAAAAATGCAGTACATCACAGTAACATTTAAAATTGCAGCTCTATCAGGAAAACTGATGTCTCTATGTTTATCCTTTTCAGTAACCAGAACAACAATCTCCTTTGTTTGCTGGAAGAATAAGAAAGACTGTAAGGAACACTATAAGTGGCATAAAGAATGGATTCAATCCAATTAATGTAATTGCAGCTTATCTTTTTAGATCCCCTGCAGTGAACAAATTCTATTGAATTCTTGAGTCAGTACAGAAAACACTATCGAAAAACACTGCCTTGGGTTCCCCCCCTCCCTTTTCCCACAAAAAAGATTCATAAGAAGTCTGGACAAGTATGACACAGAGGCTAGCTCTTTCTGCCGGTCAAATTTAATTCCATTCAATCACACTCCAAACAGTATGTGGTATGTACAGTTACAGGATCCCCCCTCCTCCCTCAAGGAAAACTGTCCACAGACAACAGGCATTCTTTAATTGAGCACAAGTGGGGCTTGGGGTGGGGGTGGGATAGGAGAGGCTCCTTAACCCTTTCCCTGCCAGCCATTTGTCTGCTTAAATGCTGGCCATTTTAACATGCTTTCCCACCTATGGATGAAAAAAAAAATGCAGCATCCGTCAATCATTTCCTCTTCAGATGACTATGAACAGATGAATGGGTGGCAGGGAAAGACTAAGTCATCCTTGCCATTTGCTTGTCCTTTATCCAAGTGTCTCGCCTCTCAAACATGCTTTTCTTTGAAAAACAGAAAGAGTCAGAGGAAGCACAGAACTCTGCAGAATGTATGGTTTAGCTGAATTTCCTCACTGAAGAATAAAAAATTATTATCTATGCATATAAAAACAGAGTTGTAAAAAAGCAGGTTTTCTCATTTATTAGACTTATCTTGATCTTCCTTTAAAGTATCTTAGAGAAGTCTATATGGCAGAGTGGAAATTTAAATCAGGTCTCCCTACTTCACATTCTAACAACTGTACTTCACTGGCTGTTAGAGAGAAAGCCTCTTCCTATGTCTACAATTAAAAGACATGATGTTCATTTATGATACCTCTTTGCCAGCCTCTCTATTGTTTGCTGATCTTGTACAGACTTGTGACTTGTATACAATGATCCTCTCAGACTCAAGCTTCTCAATCACAGGAGGAAAAAAG